ATTAAATCAAACTTTTTATTTTACCACGTGCGATTTCACCATTATTATAAAAGATAAATTAGATTAAGCTTTTCATTATCTTTCTTGTTAAACTCTTTTTCTTTTCTTTTCTAATTATTCGTCCTGTTCAACCTTTTTATTTCTTTATCATATAATAAAAATTCAAATAAAAATATTCAAAGAAATACTTATAAATTGACTTGTTTTAGATATGGGCCATACTAAAAAATGAGCATTATCTACCTCAACACACAAAAGTGCTCAACATATTTTACCTTGTATTGAACTTTCAGAGAAACTAACAAATATCTCAAATATATCGAATACTCCGAAGACCCTGAACATCCTAAATACCTCAAGAATCACAAGAAGTTCTACTATCAATATAGGTTTAGATAAACGGGTTGCCAAAGGTGTGGGTATAGAAAACTGTTTAGATCTGTTTGATGATGGTGATGCTTTATCTAATCTGAAAGGCTGTCTTCTGAATGATAATGAGATTCTTGTCAATGATTTTACTTCAGAAAATGAGATAGTGAATTCTAATTGTAAACGAAAAGTTAATAAGATTAATGATATAGAAAATGAAGACATGAATATGCAAAAGAGGAATCGTAAGTTAAGTTCATTGATTATTGCTTCTAATTACAATTGCTTTATATAAATTAATCATATTTCTTCTAGGATTTGCTTCAACAATTAGTAATATTTATGATGTGCAGACTCAAATGATTGTGATAATTCAAGATATACAGAAAAAGGTCAACGAAATGTATACAGATTGGAAAGTCATTGGATTTGATAGTTCAAAAATGGTCTGCCTTTAACTCCATATTTTTAGTTTTTAAAACTCTATTCTTACCCTACTTTTTTAACCATATGGAAAATGACACTAAATGGATAGATGTAGATGGTGTTAAATTATACTTTACTTATTTTCTATAATTATACTAAGTCATGTGTATTCTTACATAATATGATACAATTGGTCAAGCGATTTATGCTGTAATTAAAAAAGTTAAATATCCAAATGATAAATGCATTATATAAGTATGTTATAATGCATTATCAGATGCAAGAGAAGAAGAATTCTAAAATAAGATAAAACATGATGGATGGAGACGTTTCTTCAATAAATATGTTCGTTCGTTAGTAAGTAAATATTAATGGTCATTTGTAATAAATTATTTAATCTCACTCGTTCTTTTAACAGGCTCAAAGATTTTCACGCCAAGCGCAAAGTAATATCGTACAATACGTAAAAGATACTACTCATACTGAATTTTCAAATCTTGTAAAGCTAAAAATGAAAAATCAGCAAGTTACACGTGATAAAGAGTAGAAGTTCAAAGACGCTACCATCACTCACAAATATTATATAAAACTAAACAAACCCATTGATCCTGATGATAATTCACATTATACTTACCTTAACCTGATAATCGACTGTATTTTTACAAATCTAAACACAGAAAAAAATTCCATTGCGTTTGGAATGGCTGTTACTCTAAATTATTTAGATCTATCAAAAGGAATTAATATAGTCCCAAGTAAAATTATAGAGTGAATGAATCACTTTCTCGAAAAGATGTAGATTTCAGATCACAAGGAGTTATAAGTAAATTGTAAGTATTACCTTTTATCTTTTATAACATATTTATTAATCATTTTATTTAATGTTTTATAATAAAATGTAAAAGTTTATATTTAAATGAACAGATAACATTATTAAAGTTTTTCAAAATAGGTCTAAAATAAAATAGACAGAATAGCTTATTTTTTGTAATGTATTAATAATCATAGTACACTTGAATTACAATTATTTAATTTGCATAATTTGCTATAAATATTTACAATAAATAAACATATAACAAGCATTTCATATAAGTATTAAAATTATATTATATTCTAATACATCAGGAATATTTTTAATGCGAAGTATTGCGTAAGATTTACGATTTGTAAACTTATGCAAATATTACGGCG